TGCCTTGTGGTGGGGGTGACCCAGGAAGTTCAGGCTGCAGAGAGAGGGGACGAGGGAGGCTAGAGGACAGTGGCTCTTGTCACGTCGGGGGCTGGTGGAGGCCCACGGCCTGCCCTGCGGAGCCCGTCCCTGCCAGTCCCCAGCAGCTCTCCTCTCCTCTCCTCTGCCTCCCGACGCCTCGTCCTTGAGGTGACTGAGGGTCCTGGGGGGCGGGGGCTGGTGCCACAGGACGACTGCAACTTTGAGCTGTCACTTGCGAGTTCACGGGGGGCTGCTGCAGACCTCGCCTCCATGTCGAAGGACGCACCTGGAAAGGGATCTTCCCCCACCGGCAGCTGATTTATGGAGGGCGAGTTCCGACGTGAGGCCCTCTTGGGTGCGCACGCAGGTGGATCTGTGCTGTTTGGGTGAAGAGGGGGGAACTAGAGAGACCCTGAGTGGGTGGAGGAGGCAGGAGAGAGGAACGGAGGGCGAGGAAGAGAGAGGCAGAGGAGGAGAGGAGAGGGAAGGAGGGGAGGGAGGGAGGAGTCTGGCCCGGGAACCCTGCAGGTCCGGGGCGAGGTGGGTCTGGGAGGCGGGCTCTGTCTGGGGGGACTTGACTGCTGGGACTCAGGGCTCTGTGTCCTGTTCTGTGCACCACGTGCACCTGGGAACTTCTAGGGCTAATTCCCCCGTTACCCGGGGCCTGAGGGCCACAGCCAGTGACTCCATGTGATCAGTGAGTTCTCCTGGCTCCCAGCCCAGTGTCACCAACCTCCTTCACTGTCCTTAGAACAAGAGTGTCTGGGGGGCAAAGAAGGCAGACCCTGTCTGTGCCCCTGTGAGCCACCACTCACGTCAAGGCCACCTCAGAGAACAAACCGGAGCCAACCCAACCCCCCAAGGGCCCTTTGCAATTCAAAAGAGCCCAAGGCTGCCCTCGGGAACCCCTGGGGGCCCCAGACCGCCAATCAAGGCAGCTCAGGTCTGACTTCCACAGTCCTGGGTCTGAGAATGAGGAGAGGGTCTGGTGAGAAAGGGACACCCCCACGCCCAGACTCATCTGGTCATCTCTGGGGTTTGGCTGGACTCACCACTGTGTTTTAATAAGTCTGATGGATACGTCAGAAGCTCTTTGAAAACAAACGTCATTTCACTTCTTGCCTCTGGTTTTTCTTTTTCAGAGTTAAGACTCCCTCAATTTCCTTTCATGCCCAAATAGAGGAAGATCTATTTCCGGTGGTTTGTCTCTGATCCTGTCCCACAGAGAAAAGCTGGAAAGGTCAAGAAGGCCCTGGACGGCCGTCAGCTCCCCGCTGCCCGTGTCCTCCAGCCCATGGGCCACTCAGCCGGCTGCTCCGCGCCACTGCTCGGAGTTGGCGCTGTCCCCAGCCTCATGTCTTCATTTCCTCCCCGTGAGTAATGGCCTTCATTAGAGTCTCTGTGACGACGGCAGCCTTCCCTGCAAAGTGCTGCCAAAATGACGTCCCTGAAACATCGTTCTCATTCTGTCCTCGCTTCTCTCCAGACCCTTGCTCTAGGAAGCCGTGCCAACAGGTCACCGTGGGGTCCGGCTGGAGGCCTCCTGACTGGAGTCCGCCTTCATGCCCAAAGGGCGGCCTTCCTTGGCAGGAATCTTGCTCTTGTCCCTTCAAAGACCAGCTGAGAACCCAGCCTCCCCGACTCCTCTTTTGTAGCCTCTCTGTGTCCCCTTGTGTTTCTGGGTCCTTTGTCCCTCCCTGTTCCTCCTGTCCCCGAGTGGGCCAGGGTGCAGCCACCCCGCCCATCCCCTGGATCTGGCTGGGCCCCTCCTGCTGCGAGCCTCAGAAGCACGGGGCCAGGGTTTCGGACTTTAATCACCTTCCCGGTCATTCTTACTACATCCACTAACATTAAAACAAACAAACAAAACCCCCACAAAACTATTCTGGACCAAAATAATGTTTCCCAGCATTCTCCTGCAGTCCCTGGGTCTGCCAAAGCTCAGTGATTAATGATAATTCATCAGGTTGGGGCAAAACGGGGGGCTGCTCCTCCCTGCCTGGGAGGGCTGGTCACCCCACCCCGCTGTCCTGCACACTGAGTGGGCGGAGGGCTGTCGCAGGCCGTGTTTCCCACTGGAACCCCAGAAATGGTCACCAACCCACCAGCTATGTAGCCCAGGTGGCCCTGCCGGGGGCGCTGGCCTGGTGTTCCACTGTCCCCTACTCCATCAAGATGTCCACCACCCGCAGGCTGTGACACCTGTTATCAAAACCCGCATGCTTCAGAGCCGAGGGCGGAGCCTCCTGGGTGGGGACCCAGCAAGGAAGCCATCATGCTCAGAAGACCCCTGAGCCCCGCTCCTCACTACTTGGGGCACCTGCCGACCCCCGGCTCTGGCTCCCTGCTGTGGGTCCACTCCTGCTTCTCCTGTGGACCACCAGGTTGCCCCCGACCCCTGCACTGTCCCTGCTCAGCCTGTTTTGACTTTTATCCCTATTCTTCATGGGAATCCTTCCACTCTGGCCTGCTGAGGTCCCCCTTACCCAGGGACTTCTCAGGCCTTCATCTGTCCTAGGTCCAGGCCTCGTCTCCACCCATCCTGGGTGCATGGACAAGGCGATGACAGGCCTCAGTATTACCACTCAGCTGCCGCGACTTCCTGCAAAAGGAAACCATCAGCAGGGTAACCATCGCCACGGTAACCGTCGCCGTGGCAACTGTCACCACGTAGCCTGCAGCTCACTTCCCCTCGCACCCCTGTTTTGGCAACACTGGCTCCGCCCGTCCCTCCCGCCCGTCCCTCGGCGTGGCCACTTTCTCTGTACCTGCAGCGTGCTCTCGCCCTTCCTGGGCCAGCGTGGCTCCCGGGCTCACCCCCACGCTGCCCCTCACACATCCCGAGAGCCCTGTCCCCACCTCCCCTCCCAGCTGTCTGGGAAAACAGCTCGACTTTCAGCCGGCAGCGGACATGGCTGGAGGTGGCCAGGCCACCGGGTGGACAGGTCTCCCTGTAAATCAGGTCTGTGGTTTCCAGCTGGACCTCAGCACCGCGCAGCGCCCCCATTTCACTTCAAGTCAGCACCTCGGCCCCTCGGGCCTCCCAGAGCCCTGTCCTCCCACTGGTCCACCCTCTTCTTTCATTGAGAACACAGAGGCAGTGGAAGAAGTGGCCGGCCGCCGCCCTCTGGTCACTGACCGGGCTGTGTGTACGTCTGTCCCTGCCTGGCTTCCTTGTGAAGTGGGTGAGCCGGTCTGAGTTGGAGGCCACCCCTTGAGCACACCCCTCCTGAAGGCGCCCTGTCCTCTCTGCCGCTGGCCTTCTCCCTCTTTCCAGAGCCATTTCTGCCAGCTTACGCGGATGTCATGCCTCACATACTTTTCATTTTGTTTCATTTTTTTCCTTGTTGGGGACAAACCCTGGGCCTTATGTGTGGTGGCCAGGGCTCTGCCCCTGAGCGGCTTCTCTGCCAGAGCTGGCCGGGTTGTAAACATGCCACTCTGGGGCCAGTGCTGTTCTTCCTCACCACCCCATGCTCTGCCCCCTCACAGCCACAGTCATCCACGTTGTCATCTCACCAAAGTGTCTCATGGCTTCTCTTCAAGCCACCGCCACCCCGGGCTTTCTGTTCACCCATGGAGACTGCTTTTGCCCAAAGTTGGCAGGAATCTTGCTCTTGTCCCTTCAACCCCAAGGCCACCAGCATGTAGGCCCCCTACTCCTGCCTACGTGTCCACTGAAGTCCTGGGTCACCGTGTTCTGCTGGTTCCTCAGTGACCTCAGCCGGTTATTAGTAGCCCAGGCCCCAAAGCCAGATCGCCTGGTCCTGGCTCGAGGGTGACGGCTTGGGAGTGACGGCTCTCCCTGCACATCTTTGCATGGCCGCAGGTCTCCTGCCTCACTCCTTGACTTGAGTCTGGTCTCTACTTAAAGGCCACCTGACCAGAAGCCTCTTCCCGGGCCTCCTGGTCCGGTCAGTCCAGCACACCTCCCTGGCCTACCATCCTAGTGGTGTAGAGCGGGGGTCCCCCAGAACTCCACTCCTGGTCACAGCGCGTGCTCCCAGAGTGAGCAAGTGCACGGAGGAACAGAGGACTGAGCCGTGTGCGTGGGGTGGCTGTGGGCGCATCAGGAGCTGGTGCCTGCGTGCGGGCATGTGGCCCCACCTGTCCTGGAGCCAGGGACACAGAATCAGAGGGCCCTCCCGTGCCTTTCCTCCCCTCACCACCTCCAAGGTCCGGCTCCAGGCCGTGAGATGGGAGTCCAATCAATACTACGTGCGTGAATGGGGCGGATGAGCCGCTGGCCATGAACTTCCCTGGCTTTGAGGTGGTGACAAGTTGACACTATGAGCATATGTGTTCTGACCAATAAAAGTCTTTCCATTGGGAAATAAATCAAGAGGCTCCATCAGGATGGCCGCGTGTCCTGGGACGTGGGACTGCGGTTTTAAAGCTGATCTTCCGGCCCTGACCCTCCCCTCACCCCCGGCCCCACTGCCCAACTCAAGCTTGTCCAGCTTTGGACCATTTGCACTTCCTGCCTTAATTTGATTAGCGACAGATGCTATTATCTGAGGAAATCTAAATTGCCTCTTCCTGTGCTAATGAACTACTGTACCAAGTGCGTGGGGATTCGAGAACAAGATAGATTTATTAATGAGCGGCTAATTAAAGGGACAGTTACAGAGTTCTTGGGGAGGGTGGTGGTGGGGGCAATGTTTCTATTTCTTATAAAGATTGACGCTTTTTAATGACAAAATGAAAATGTTGTACATCTAGTCTAAAATTTTAAATGCCATAATTCAGAAACAGAATGAAGAGCTAAGTTTAATTAAATGCGATAGAATGTGACACTTGGTCCTGGTTGAGGTTGGGGACTGGGGCCTGTCCGTCACTGTCCTCTCCCAGCCGTCCCTGTGGTAGCCCCATGGCCGTGCCTTTCATCGGGCATGGTCCTGCCAGCCCAGCTCAGAAACCAACAAGTTCCTCCCACGCTGGCAGGGAGGCCCCCCTGCAGCGCCGAGCCAGGGACAGGCTTGTGATAATGACCGCTCTTGTCCCTGCACACAGAGCCTCCCACACACCAGCGGGCACAATACAAACAGATGAGCTCACTGACACCAGCCATGGGCTTGGATCTGGAATGTTCCCCCACAGGCCCGTGCGCTGAAGGCCGGTCCTCAGGGTGGCTCTGTTGGGTACACTGAGGCCTCGGGGCTTGTCCTTAAAGGGGATAGTAGGACCCTGGACTCTTACTCTTCCTCTCTTCTGATCCGGGCCATGATTGGGTGGCTCTGCTTTGCCACACGCTCCTGCCATAAGGTGTCACCTCTTCACAGGTTCAGAGACACCCAGGATTGGAACTTCCCAAACGGTAAGCCAGAATAAACCTTTTATCTTTATAAGTTAATTATCGCAGGTATTTTTCTTACAAGAGCAGGAAGCTCCCTAGTGCAATCCTGAGTCTCCACATTATCTTCCTTGGGGTGAGAACACCGTGCGGGCTGGAGTGGTGGGATCGTGGCCAGGCGGTAGCTACGTTTAGGCTGTGGAAGGCAGGAAGGCAGTCAGTGGCTTGGCTTGCTAATGTGAGCTGGTCTAATCAATGTTCCCATCTTTCTTGTGTTGGGAGAAGAAGGGCGGAAATGCTGTGGAGATGGGTTGGTGGTCTACAGCGCGGAATCAGAGCTGACCTCAGCACCAGCACCCTGGAAACCACGACTCCGTCTTCCAGGAAATCTGAGCGTCTCTGCATAAGCTGCTGACAGCCAGTGTCCCTGGGAAGTGGAGCCTATCATGGTGGCCACCACGGACTGAAAGGTTTTTCTCCTGTTGAAGTGAAACGAGGGCTCTGTATTACTCTACCGAGAGGGCTCGAGAAGGGGATGCCACCACGCCCATCAGTGCTTGCCACAGCACTGCAAAGAAGGAGCTCATTACGAAGCTGTTTGCCTGGGTGGGTCGGCCACAGCAGAGCACCCACTGGAATGAGCTGGAGAACTAAGTTATCTTCAGTGCCGATGATCCATTTATTTTTAAAAGTATTCTCTAAATGCTCTCTTGCACCCCAGCTGCCTTCGATGGGGAGTAAAATGGGTTTGCATCTCTCTGCATCTCTACCCATGCAGGGCTGAGGGTGCTGGGCAGGAGAAGCGGCTATTTCTTCACTCTTGTTACCCAAATGTACTCTTTAGTGACTGGTTCTTTTGCAGAGGCTCTGGAGTGAATGTCCCTGGAAACCTTTCCTTATTCGATGAAGACCCTTGCCAGGATTTCTCAGAGAACGTTGTGATTTGGATTACAATTTTTGTAACAGAAGAGACATGTTCTCCAGCCATAGGCATGAGAAGAATCTTACCCATTTATTTAATGAGTAGTCTGTTCTGTGACATCTCCCCAGTCCGTCCACTGTGCCCTCTTTTATAAAATAAGCAGAGGTGCACAGTGAAGTCATCAGCTCTTCATGCAGAACCCCGCGTGGGTGGACCACTGGCCTGTCCTGGTGGGAAATCATGGCTGCTTGTTTGTGGTGCTGCAGGGATGTCCTGTTCCACGCGGCTTGCAGATAGGAAATGCAACCTCAGCACATTCCAGGTTTAAGGAGAGGGGAGATGGAGCAAATCTAACCAGAGAGAGAGAGAGAGAGAGAGAGAGAGAGAGAGAGAGAGAGAGGGGGGAGAGAGAGAGAGAGAGAGAGAGAGAGAGAGAGAGAGAGGGGAGAGAGAGAGAGAGAGGAAGAAAGAGAAAGAGGGGAAGAAAGTTTATTGGTCCTGCTGTAGCCGAGGGTCCTTGATGCAGAGATCACCTTGGTTTGTGGTATTTGGTTGATGTCAGGCAAGAGTCTGTGTCTGGTTGGGGCCAAGAGACTTGGCAGAGGGTAAAGGCTGTTGGCTGGTGTCTCCTGGAGAACTGGCTGGTAAAAGATGGCCTGATCTTGTCCAAGGGGATGGGGATCCAAGTCTGGGCCCCTCCCAACAGCTACAAACCTGGAAAGAGGATCCAGAGTGGGGGCCAGGTCTTGATGGATGGGGTTCTGAGAGCCAGGGTTGGCTGGGTGAGGGCACCTGGCCTGCAGGCTCTGGAGTTGGGCTCCAGAAAGGTGAGCCTGGGGTTGAGATGTGACCAGGCTAAACCCACCAAGGCACTGGTCAGGGGGACGAACGTCACACGTAAGTCGTGTCAAGTCCCTGAGAGGACATGAGATGGACACAGAAGTTTTGCCTGATGGACAGGAGGGAGAACTTCAAAGGAGTCCCAGAAGCACCAGTTCTTATAAGTAGCATAGGAGCACCTGCCGTGTATTGAGTCCCTGCTACGCACAGACCCAGCACCTCTGAAGCACTATTTCTGATCCTCCTCACACAGAACCAGGAGGTTATCCTCAAACCCCTCACAGTGAGAAGCTGAGACATGGAATGGTTGGGTGACTTGCCTATGGGACGTGTCGAGCAGGAATGAGAACCAAACGCATCGGATTCCAGAGCTCACTCTTCCCGATGACTCTGTCCTTCATGCACAAGTCCACTGACTTGCCCGAGGTCAAGAGCGATGCTCCATTTTGCCCATGTGGGAAGTCGGGTGTAAGGACATGGCCAAGGCCTTCGCAGCTCAGGGTCCTCCAGCTCCTCCCAGACCCCATTTCCTGCTCTCAAGCCAGGCTGCCATTGACGAGGGACTGAGCGGTCAACCTAGTGGTTTCAGAGTCTTAGGTGCGAGTTCCAGTCACACTGGAGCCACCAAGGGCTGATGGTTCCGTCTTGCTAACTCAGGAAGGAGATGCTCCATGTGTCCTGATCTGCCACCACTCAGGGGCTCTAGGAGTCGATTCCCACTGTGGAGTGACATGCTGAGTGACGGGAAGTTCAGCCTGTCTCAGGGAACAGTTCCCAGCCAGAGTCAGCAACGAGGTGTGAAGGTGACAGCATGCATCTGGCTTCTACCCACAGATTCCTGAGCCCCAGTGAGGCCCGTGCAGAGAGGGGGTCTGTCAAGCATCTGGGACCGGTTGGTGTGGGGCTCCTTTGCGTGGGACAGGATGGGGATACAACCAGCAGGACTTCTGGAGATTTCTAGGCTGTATCAGCTGGCCTCCCTGAAATCAGAGCCTCCAGGCAGGGCTTTGAGACGCCCTCAGCAGATCCTCAAATAGCGAGGGGGCGCCATGGAGCATCTCCGCTGCAAAACCCAGTGTTCCACCAACCACCGATGATCCCGAAGAAATGCGACTTGCTCCCCTTCACCAGGGAGGTCCTGGTGAAGAGTCAGAGGGTGGAGTCGGTTTCCCAGGAACAAAGCCTTTTAATGCCTCCTTTTGCCAAGGTGAGGCTCAAAGGGAAAGTGGCTGTTCTTGGGAGGTCACGTCACCGTCTGTGGAAACAGGTGGAGAGACTGGGGCTGCGGTCCAACCTCCCCACACCCTGCAGGTGGGTGAATGGTCTCCTCTGTAGAAAAGAGAGGGTCCCTCCGCCCAGGCTCATCCCACCAAGGGCTCCATCACCCCTGAACTCACCCTGAAGTCACCGAGTGAGGAAGGTGAGGCAGGGGTGCGGATGCCTTTGATCTGTGGTCCCACCGTTGATCCCTTCCATGCAGGGTCCTGGATTTTACTGTGTGGACGGCCTCTGAACTTAGGCACCCTGGGAAGGAGCCTCCTGTCCTAGGTCCTCTCCTGGCCCCCAGGGGTCACCTCTGAGGTCTGCAGGGACATCTTTCTCACTCTAGAAGGCAGTGTCGGGCTCACCAGAAACAGTCCAGGGACAGCACTTCTCCCCACCCGATGCCACTCCTGAGTGAGCGCAGCGCGAGGACTTCCCACTCTAACAAGAGGAAGCCCCCAGGAGCGTCGTCACCTGGGTCCTGCGACGGCCTGTGGCTGGCAGATGGGAGAGGAGAATCTTCAAAATGAAAATCCATTTGTGCCGGGCGTGACGGCGCACCCCTGTCATCCCAGTGACTTGGAGGCCGAGGAAGGAGGATTGCAAGTTCGAGGACAGCCTGGGCCACTTAGCAAGACCCTGCCTTCAACATAAATTTTTTTAAAAAGGGCTTGGATGTAGCTCAGAGGTAGAAAGCTCCTGCGTCCAATCCCCAGTGCTGTAATGTAAGAAAAAATCATTTGGTTATTAATTTGCTCAGTGCTGGTTCTGTAGCTTGGCTACCGTGGCCTGTGCTGCCTCCTTTTGAAGACGTGTGAATTCGGTGGGGGAATCCGAGCTGCCAGAGTCCAGAGAGAGAACTGCATTGTCCACATACAGGACAGTGGCCCTCATTGCTCCTGCCCCAACAGGGCCGGTCTTCCGTTGGGTGATGTCCACCTGGCCCACAGCAAGGTGGGCGTGGGGTGGGCAGATGTCAAGGCAGAGAGGACAGTCTTTGTGGGAAGGAGGGTCCTTGGCTGAAGTTCCAGGCCTTTCTTTGATGATCTCAGTTGGGCTGGGACTTAGTGATTTGAAGGAGGGAGGTCTAGGTGAAGGCAGAGGTGCGCTGAGACCTTGGCACTGAGAAGTGTTGTCACCGTGCTGAGCCTGACCACGGTGGCCGGGTTGATTTTTAGCCCCGCAGATCACGTCTCTATGGAACCTCTGAGAAAATTAAGTTTGACTGTGCATATGGCCCTGGAGCTGTGCAGGTGACCCGTAGAATTACCTACATCCTCCTTCCAGTAATACGTTCTGGTCGACAGGGAAGCACTGGGTCCTCTGTGGATGTGGAGAGGCTTCTGGGGGAGACGGGAGTGGAGCTCGCCTGCGATGATGGATGGGGTCAGATCCGAAGTGCTGCGGAGGCCAAGGGAGCGTCCCAAATGCAGGAGGGAGAACCTGCCTCCCAGAACCCTCCTATGCAGGAGCACTTGGCCTTGTGGACCAGCGGGATCACTGGGTGTGTGGGGGCATGGACGTGCATGTGCAGGGCTCACAATACTCCTTCCCAGCCAACTCTAGCCTCAAGAAACTTCAGAAGGTCCCTTGCATGGACTCACAAGTGGCTGGGTAATAAATAGTGCCCGGGGCCTGTCCATCAGCCAACACCACTTTGCAGGAAACCACGGCACTCATTGGAGTGTCTTTTAATTTTCACTTGCCTGTCCCCTGACCTGTCCCCGGAAAAAAAAAAAAAAAAAGGAAAAGAGCCAAAGGCAGGTGGTCAGCTCTGCTCCCAGCCTCTCTCTGTTCTTAGTGAGCACTGGACCCATCCCCGTTCCCCTAGAGCCAGCAGCCAGGAGCGGGCTCCCCTCCTGCCCGCCGCAGACCCCCGCCAGCTGCAATACTGCTCCGTAGACTAATACTGAATTTCCAGCTGCTCCGTGGCTCACTCTCTTTCCCTGGCCTTTGGCAGCAGGGAAGTCTGCCTTATTAGATGCTATCAAACACCGCCTCCTTCTCGGGCGCTTGCCTTCACGGGCATGCCTGCAAATGGGTAGATTTCCACAGCCCGACACAATAGCCCTAATTGCACGGCTTCGGCATACAAGCGGAGGTCGTTTGATTACTAGCTGTTTTGTACCATGAAAGTGCACATTAATTATTTAAGAGATGGACTTATAATTATTGTAAGCCTTAAGTAATTACCTATAATTTTGGCAAGGGTTAGAAAAACTGATAGTCTAGCAAATTCAGGTTTTAGTCATTAGTAAGATCATAATTACATTTAAATTGCAAAATGAAAATTATGCAATTTATCTCCCCAATAATGCATAAACATTACAGTGATTGTAGGTTTTAATAGACTATAAAAACGGGAGCAGCAGTGGGCAGTCAGGGGCAATTTCAGCCCTCGCTATTATTTTATATTGGAACTGCTTCTTCCGTAGGGTTGTCTGGTCCACTCCTATCTGGGTTAGTCTGGGGTGCAGGGGGGCTGCTGAGTGTCTTTCAATCTGAAAGCCAAGCAATCAGGTCTTTGGAAGAGAGGAAGACAGGGAGAGAGACGTGATCCATCACGATAAGCCTGAAGTTACAGGAGAATATTTGCACCAAAGGAAAGAATCTCATGGAGGAGGGTCAAGAAGGTTCCAGAAGACTTCCCTCCTTGAATTTTCATCATGTCTATTTTACAGATGAGGAAACTGAGGCTCTGAGAGAGGATGAGACCCGATTGCAGTTGGGCTGTGGGGATAGAATCCAGCATCCAAAGCTTTGCATCTGTTGCCACCAGCCTCTGGGGTCTTTGTGTCCAGTGTCAGTGAGGCCCAGGGAGCAGCACAAGGGTGACCCTATGGGTGGGTCTGGAAAGGCGAGCATGACCCTGCTGTATCCGGGCATCGTATTAATGGTGTCTTCACAGGGACCACTAGACGGGAGACCTTTTGAGATCAAAGTGGCTGATTCTCCTGTAAAATGCATCTCCGAGCCCTTGTCTTCTAGGAAGTAGCCCCTGGAGGAGAATCAGGGTCCGACACTCTGCTCCTGTATGGGCCCAGTACATGTTTCCATTGTGGCTCAGATTCATGGACACCCAGCGATGATAAGATGTGCTGTCTCCTTAATGGAACCGAGAACGCGTCCTGGTTTATGTATCTTGGGCACACAGTGAAAGCCGAGGAAATGTGTATTAACTGAGTCGATTGATTAGTCAGTCATTTATGACTCGTCCACTGTCTTCATTATCTTACGCTGGATGCAGGGAAGGTCATAAAGAAAGGCAACAGTGTCTCTCTGCTCGAGGGTTTTGCGATCCAGCGAAGGGGAACAAACAGATGAAAGACGAAGCGTCAAGGCAAACATATTTATCATCCCTGAACAAACTGCGTCCGCGTTCCGAGTGTTTGCCGAGATAAGTTGTGACTTGTTCCTCGGCTGGAATGCCACCGGAGCTGCCCGGACGCCTATCTGCCTGGCTCAGTCAGCTCCAGTCTCACCTAGATGCAGGAAGATAAATATTTCCTGTTGTCATTATCTAATTATGGGATGATGCCAACAATAAATATTGACTGAGCGCCTAATCTATGCCAGACGCCATGCTGGGAAGTCGGGCACCAGGAGGGGCAGCCTCGGGGAGCTGACGTCAGAAGGACCCAGGCAAAGCAGCAGGGGGAGAGCCACCAAGGGGCAGAGGAGAGGGGCAGGAAAGGTAAAAAGAGCACCCGTGTGGGCAGACGGGACGCCCAGGGGAGCCCAGAAAGATTAGAGAGACCAGCAGTCAAGGAAGAAGGGCTGCGAGGGCTATATCAAGAGTAAGTACCCATGTGACGCTTTATGGGAGGGGGGTACTCAGGATAGAACCCAGGGGTGCCCAACCACTGAGCCACATCCCCAGCCCTTTTTATATTTTACTTAGACATAGGGTCTCCCTTAGCTGCTTAGGGGCTTGCTAAGTTGCTGAGGCTGGCCTTGAACTTACAATCCTCTTGCCTCAGCCTCCCGAGCCACTGGGATTACAGGTGTGCACCAGCTGCCCGCCTCCTCCTGGGAGGAAACCCAGCTCTGGCTTTCCTGTGGGTACACCTCCCAGATTTGCCTCCCAGGAGGAACTCAGCCTCTGCTTCAAGTGCACAGTCCTGACTGGGGTACACCCAGGTGCTACCAGCCACAGAATTATAAAACCGTGGGCCTTGGGAGAGCAGTAAGTGCCACTTCTAAATGCAGCATCACTGTGGGCGAAGCGTCTGTCCCAGGGGCCGGCGCTCAGTGCTAGACGTGCTCTGAACACAGTGCTGTGCGTGGGAAGTGGCCTCACTCGGGCCCGTCACTACTTCCCCCATGCTTAGAGGAATCGAGAGGAAGCTGACCGGGTGCCTCTTCTCACAGGACAGTCCAGGGTGGATGTTCTGGGGGAACTCATAGCCAACTTACGTCGTTGAATCTCTGCCCTTAGACAATCTTACAATAAATGGAGGATCCCAGGCAAGGTCTGTCAAGGGCACATGGAAATGCTCCTCGTCTTTCAAGGAGGTGATGCCGGGGAAGCCCGTTGATGTTGACAGTCGTGTAAGGTGAAAATTCACGGACGCAGCGCACCTAGCAGACACCAGCGCCTTCTCCTACCAACCTTCAAAACACCGAGGACTCGGACCTCAGCAGACAATTGTGGGAGGTCATTTACCCCTGTCTCTCCAGGAAGGGGTGAGCATCCTGTGCAGTTTACCAAGTACGTACTGGAAGTGCAAAATGGCGCCATCCACAAATCTTAAGTTGGGCCACCCCAAGTCAGGGACTCTCTCTTGATCTGCCAGGAGGGAGACCCCCAGTGCCGGCAAGCAGGGCCATCACAGTGGAGCAGAAGAGCATGCGCATCCAGATTTTAATTCCGGCTTTGGTGTCTGAGCTCCATCTTGGAAGAAAGGTCGGAGTCTACAAGTTAGAGATGAGGGGTGAACCCTCAGAGGCGAGTGCTCACCCGGGCAGTGCCCGGGACGGCTCCTGCCATTTGCATTCACTGGGATTATTTTGGTTGCAAGTGGCTGAAACACCAACTCCCGTGGCTTTGGAAAATGGGAATTCATAGGCAGGCTCACAGAGTGGTGACAGGCAGAGCCAGTCACGAAGGCAACCGAGTCAAGTGGCTTCAGGATCTCAGGGAGTCGCTCACCTTGCGCACACCCCATCTCTGATGCTCTTGGTTAGTCGTTTCTGTTCTCTTGGGCTGCCTGTCTCCTCCTGGTGGGAAAGCTGGCTCCGGCTTTCCAGTTGGCCTATGGATTTGTCACCAAGGAGGGACCCAGCCTCTGGCTCAGTCCTGCACTCAGCCCAGATGGGCGTGCACCCACATGCCAACAGCTACGGGCAGAGAGAGGAGAACGTGTGAAGGCAAGGCCCTCAGAAGGACACAAATGTCACTTCTGAAGCCACATAGCTGGGCTTCAGAGAAGGGACACTGTGAGGGGGGGATGGGAGGGGAGGAGGGGTAAGACAGGGAACCTATTTCTCAGAAGGAGGAAGAGTTTGTGTCAATCAACTTTCAGAGGCTTCAAAATACAAGTCATGGGGGTTCTGGGAAATTCTGGTCCGAGCCGGCGGGTGGGCCTGAGGTTGGAGGAGAGACTTAGCACTGGTCAGTTCTGTGCAGATGTTTTCCATCAGATCCATTTATCAGGCTTTCCACTCACTCTCCCTTAAATCAAACCCCTGCTGATGAGATTCAAGGGGACCTATTAGGTAGAAATAAAGGTTGAGATGCTATCACAGAGACCAGGCAGATACACTGGATAGGGTAGAGATAAAAATATAAAATATTCGCTTTGAAAGCATATCACTTACAGGATAATGGCCAATTCTGGTGGTGAGTACCTGTGCTCATAAGTCACGCAGGAAACTGGGATGAGAGCGCTTAATGGCTTCTGCTTCCCTGAAACGCACTGTGCTGGTCTCCCGACCCCCACGGGCTGGCTCTTGGGTGCACCTTGGCAAATCTGTATGTTTGCACACCTGGGAGCTGAGCCCTCATTCTCTGTGGATAGAACGTGTCGGCTGTGGAGACTGGAAAACGCGGATCCCACAGGGACTTGAATCGCAGCTTCCTTCTGGAGAAGGCACATGAGCTCCTTCTCTCCCCAGGAACATCATGACCCACTTCCTCCAGGTGAGAGCCGAGGAGAGCTGACTGCATTTTCCTGACATCTCATCAGCTAGACCACCTCGTCTAAAGAGAAAGCGCCATTTGGATCCTTTTCCAGTGCCTGAAAGCAATTCCCTCTGACATTCCTCCATGAATTTTCTTTGAGCTGGATTACTTACTGGGGACCAAAGAGCCCTGGTTCTCAAAATGAGAGGAAGCTTCCTGTCTCCCACTAGTTGGCCTTTCCTACTTACTGAGAGAGGGGACAAGCTGAGAAGTGATGACAGGCGAGCTGAGGAAGGAACTGGACAGCAACAAATGACCTAGAAAGAGAGCCAGCCAGCCAGGCCAAAGGCTCGGACATGAGCAGGCCTGATGTGAACAGTTCCCATTCCAGTCAGGCATGGAGGGAGCTAAGGAATGAGCCCTCCCAGATCTTCAAGTGATTACTCCCCACGTATGAACCAATGGAGCTGGAGATGCACTAAATGCCGCTGTCCAGGGTCAGTACTGAGCAGTTACTCACCAGGCTGGACCAGAATTTTGTCTGCAGAGACCTGAGGAGTTGCATGTTTTTGTCACCCAGGGGGAGGTCAGCCTCCCAGATCACACATGTACCAACAGCTGCGGCAGAGTGGGGGATGTCTGAGACAGGCAACTTGGGCAGACATGAATGTCACTACAGGCATGTCACACAGAGTCAGTCATGAGAAGGACAAGGTCAAAACTGGTCACTGAGTCATAGAAATGGATTCAGTGTTGGCTGCTTGAGACGCGGTATTAACGGGTAGGCCCCGGTGTGGTTCAGGCGGTACCTGTGCCAATGCACCTGTACCATCTTCTGGACGAGGCCCTGATAGGCAGGGAGAGTAGGTGGATCTGGGCCAGACTAGGCGAGCTCCCTCCATTCAGAGCAGGGCTCAGCAAACTTCCAGGAAAAGTCAGGATGGGGCACTGCTAAGGCTCCAAGAGCCCAAGGAATCAAGATCTTATCTCTATGGGCCAGTAGGCAGGGCAAGGCCCAGACCCCAGAAAAAGCCAAGGTCCAAGACAGAGTGACCGGTGAGAACATAGTGGTTCAGGGCAGCAGCCAGGGCTTGGCCTAGGGATGCAGAACAGGGTGGCCATAGGCGATCTCTGGCCTCATGACTTCCAGGCTACTCAGGTGACAGGGACTCACTCCCTCCGAGGACGAGGACCCAGTTCCAAGTCCTACCAAGCACAGAGTCGGGCTGTCGAGGGACATTGGTCAGATGTGGACCTGCCTTGGCTTCCCTGAGTTGTCCCTCAGCACCCAGGCCCTGGAGGTGGAGGGAAGACCAACACAGGGTGATGCCTCTGGCCAACGTTTCATGGAGACATTTTGCTCTCCAGAACCAGAGAGCAGTAAAAGCAAGTGCAGATCTCCCTCCTCTGACCCCCAGACCCTCCTGCAGAGGGTCCCCAGGGGTCGCGGAGTTACAGAGATGTCACTTCCAAGTCAGATCACTTAAAAAAAAAATAACCAAAAAACCTATTAATCTATTCTACATAACAGTCCTATAGAATGTAATTAAAACAGCTTACTATACTTGATTATAAATGTAACACAGGCTCATCCCATAATATACAGAAATATATTCCTTAAAACACGCAGCATTTTGTGAGGGTGACAACCGTCTGCAAAGTACAGATAGCTCAGAGGAATGGAAGGAATAAGGCCGTTAAAGCCTCACAGCCACTTTCCCCTGGGGTTGGGGGCTGTTTGGTCACCTGCCTGTGGGTGTGCAGAGGTGATCTCTCCGTTAACCCCACGCAAGGCAGGCAAACAAGGGCATGGAGAATACAAAATTGGAGACAACTGGCAACCTCCTCTTTTTGATTTGTACATGTACTTTTCTTACTTCCACTTGAGCGTAGTCTTGGCTGCTGTATTGAAAATTCACTTCAAAGGAAATAATAAAATCCTGGTGCAAAAGAAATTGAGATGCTTTCCAATTTCCCAACTTCAATAAAATGCTTCTCAGCACATCTCTGAAAGTCACTCTGGACAGGAAATTGACAGCAAGGGCTCATTTCCAAGGTGATAAGGGAGGGGACCGTCAGTGGGGCACTGAGCCGGGGCCGGGATAGCCCAGGGACAGGGAGGTCCTGCCCTCCGCAGGGGCCTTGGTTCCAAAGCCCTGCCTGATGAGAACATGGTAAGTTCTATGGTAGGTGTCAGTATGGGAGACGCTGAATAGGGCGCTGCTCCAGGCTTCCGTCAGAGACGACCCCGTCAGAGAGCACCCCCAGGTGCCATCCCTGACTGCTGCCGCCTCCGGCTTGTTTTCTCATTGCCCATTTGTCCTGGGGGCTCCTGATTCGGCTCCCCAGATCTCTGGGCTCTGTGGCCATTTGTTGATTCCTGGTACCCACTCAGGCCAACTTTGCTTTCACCATGGAGCTGGTTTCTCAGGGCTCAGCCTCCGGCCAGCCTCACTCTGTCCTGGCACCCACTTTTGGTTCCTCATCTCCATTCACCCTGATCCTTTGGGACTCTTGCAAGAAAGTGAGTTACAACCAAGGAGAACAGAGTCCAGGGCCCCGCTTAACGGGCTGGATGGGCATGCTCCACTAGGGGAAAAGGACCCCGGTCACCTGGGCCACGTTCAAGGAGGGGAGCTCCGTCTGTGGGGAGAAGCCAAGGACAGACCAGATCAGGGCAGAGAGGCCAGGCCGATGCTCCGTGCCCAGGTGGAGGCCGGGCAGGCTGTGGACGGGGTCTCACCTGCGCTTCCAATCCTCCTCTTCAAAGGGCAGGTGGAGGAGCAAGGTGAAGGTCCTCCAAGGTGGCAGCTGAGGATCCTCGTCATTCAGAGGGCAAATCTGAGGTCCTGAACTTGGAGATGGTGGTTCTGCAGAGGGAAGCACAGGAGGGAACATCTCTGTGAAGCTGGAAATCGTTCATCGAACTGCGGCTGGAAGGTCACACTCCTGTCCCTGGATACCGTCACATAACTCAAGATTCCAGCAACGGGTGGAAATGACAGCAAGGGCTCATTATGGAAAAGAGCAAATTAAAACTCCAGGGATCAGGGAGCTCCATACGGGGAACCTGCCGGATGTTTCCTTGGCCTCCCCTGCCCGGCCCACGGTGCGCTCTGCAGCCTGTGGACTCACCGCCGCTTGCCTACCGCCCGTCAGCCTGGTGCAATGTGGGCAGCCGGGGGGGGGGGCAGCTCTGACCCTAGAGCCCACACCATCTTCCAGTTGCTTAGGCCAGAGCCCTGGGGGCAACCTCGACCCACCTCTTTCTCATGCCACCTCAGATCCTCTAGCAGGTCTCTCTGGTTTCCTTTCAGAACACTGGGGAAGTCCTGAGTGGTGTCCTCCTCTCCTGCCCCTCCTCAGTCCTGGATCCACAGGTTCTGGGGACACAGGCCCTCCCGGACCCTCAGATGCAGCCCCTGGTAGGCAGTGCCACCCAGCTGGTGCTGTAACTGAGCCACCAGAGGGGCAGCCCTCCAATCAGTGAAGGCAGATGCTGCTGAGCGTCGGGATTCATGATAAGACTGGACACTCGGCCTCAGAGCACTGCCTTGCTTCCCTGCCGGGGGTCCGTTCTTTGGTCAGAGGTGGTAGATAATATGTTCAGTGACTTGACAGGTGACGTGGCGGCCGAGGCCTGACAGGCCAGGGAGTTGAAGCAAAAGCCAACCCAGAGTAAAGGTCTGTTCCAGCAAGGACCAAGGGTGGAGCCCTCTGTAACGGGAGTGGCCCGGGGTGATCAACCTGCCACCGGGTGGCTGGATGACCTTCATGAGGTACCATCCCTCCGCCGAGTCCCAGCTGATCACTGGCATCAGCACCCTGGTCAGCCTAGAGCGACGGCAGGTGTGACAGGCCCTGGCGAGGGAAGGCCATGTTTCCCAGCCTGTCTGTGGCCCCCACTGCATCCCTCCCTGTGTACTTGGGTATTTGCAGAGGAGAGAGATGGGTGCGGAAGAAGAGGTCCGGCTGTCCATCTCACTGTCAGGAGGTTCCTCAGTGGTGGGCGTGTACAGTTGCTAGAGTATCCTCATCATCAGTGTCCAAGTCCCAGCTCCTTCTGAGTCCCCACACACTGCGGCCATAGCAGCCCTCCCACGGAATCCCACCCAGTGTATGCGCTGCCCTTACCCTTGTTGAGGACCATCTGGAGAAATGCTGAAGGACAGAGCCAAGGACAGCCAGGGCTAAGGGCGCCCAGGATCAAGGTGGCCTGAGTTCCTAGGGTCCCCTAGGGCACAGTGGCTGGGATAAGCGAGTCTGTGCCCTCCTCGTACTCCTCACCACACCTCTGTTCCTGGGCTGCTGCAGACTCCGTCTTGTGGGAGAGAATTTCCCATAAAGAAACCAAGATGCCAATCAACATCAAAGGTGAAGCAGACTCCGAGCAGCCCGAACCCTGCAGACGCCCACTACCTGGGCTTGGTCTAAGAAGCGCCAGGTGCTGGGCAGGCTCTTGTCACTTGGTGGGGGTGGCCATGGTGCTGGGTGGGGGTGGCATGGTGCCATCATGAGCTGAGGTTAGAGTGAGTGGGTCACCAGCAGGCTGCCTCCTACCACCCCCTCCCACCATCTCCCTGTCCACGCTCACCTGCTCCGCCCTCTGTACAGGGTGCAGAGAACATTCACATCGCTCAGATGCCACCTGTCCCCTGGCCTGTGGTCTCCTGGCTGAAGGGCCATCCCCCCACAGGCACCTGCAGCCTCCGTGGGTCCTTTCAGCCATTCTTGTATGTGTGCAGAGGCCGCCTGTCCCCTGGTGGGTGTCAATGTTGGCTCCGGATATTCCTGGAATCCACGGAAAACCTCCAGCCCCTCACGGTCGGGGAGGCACAGCTGCAGCCCAGCCTCGCCCCTGGGGTTGATTTCCAGGCTCCAGTGGGATCCTTTACAGGGCGGCCACAGGGGCAGGAAAAGCTCCTGAGCACCAGTGCTCGGCCTCGGGCAGGTTTTCATTAGGTCTTGATGAAGCCTGGACCCGCGGTCCCGGGGGCCCTTTTTGGTTCCCACTTGATCTGGCTTGGCCAGCTCCCTCACCCTGAGGATCTCAGAGGAGCAGAGCATCCAGGGTCCCAGGTGTCCCAACGTGAGCTCTGAGTTCTGGTGGCCACAGAGGGAGAGACGGAGGACTGGAGAGGGGTTTCTGAGTCTGTGCGGCACCTTCTCTGCCCCGTTGTCACTCAGCCCCCATGTCCTGGGATCAGGATGGGGAGGGAGCTCAGCCGTGAGGTCAGGGAGCCCTGCTCCAGTTCCAGCTCCGAATGCTGGACACTCCCCCCCTGGCCCCTTCCCGCCGAGCCTCAGTGTCCCCCACGAGGAGTATCACCAAGAGCAGAGCAGGAGCAGCAGCGGGGCCCTGGCTGGGTTCCCCACGCACACAGGTAGCCAGGATGCTGAAAAGCGCTCTGTCTGCACCATTTCCTTAAATGTCACTAAGTCCATTGTGCAGATGAGGAGACCGAGGCTCAGAGGAGGTCAAGCCAGCCTCAGGACCTGACCATGTGACTGCTACACCACTGCCCACTGCTGTCTGTGCCTCTGTCCATGAATCCAGATGGTCCTGGACTTAGTGGGGCTGGACTTATACGATCATGCAACTTTACAGTGGCACCAAACTAATCCGTGCTTAGCAGCCACTGTACCTAGGAGCTAGGATTTGGACCCTTTCCCAGGTCAGGGCTGGGCACTGGGCAGGAGCATCCTCTACCATGATGCTGGACAGCCTTGCCCGGCCCCCTCAGAGCCAAGGGCTGACCTCCTGCGCCCTGTAGTGTGGCCCGGATGTTTGAGCAGGGGGTGTCCAGGGCATCTGGACTTGGTATTCTCCTCTCAGGGTGGGCTTGGAGCCGCTGAACCCACTGTGGGAGCCTGGCCGGCTGAGGCTGCTGAGTGGCCGCGCTCACGGCTGGCACATTTGAACACGTGCCTGCCTCCCCTGCGTGGGAGCCGAGCTGGCCCTGGGCACTCGGTCTTTTTGCCACAAGCATTATAGTGGCAGAGCTCGCCACCCAGGGCCTTTCATATGCTGATAAGAATTAAGAATTCATGGTCAGTACTCTGCCTGGTGTTTCCCTCCTCATTGCTGGCTGGGGCCCGCAGGAGACCAGAGGTGAC